GACTTTCTTTGCATCTAAAATAATAATGTGTTCATCAAGAAGTTTTTGAATTTCAACCTGTTCACATTGCAGTGGTTAAAAATAAAATTAGACTATTTCAAATGTTACCAGGTACTATATTTCCCTGAGAAGAGTAAAAGAGGCTACTTTCCCTAAACATATACCAGGGTTCAGTTGATATCAACCAAAATCAAACTAATCCGATGAGCATTAAAACCAATTCGGTCGAACCTAGCAACTACCAATCTTTCATAGGAGATAAAAATATATATTATAACTCAAACAAAATCGAACCAGTTTGATCGTAAATGAGATGCATTCAGAAGCTGCCATAAAAAACTATACGGTTCTCACGTAGATTCCATACAGCAAGTGGAGTGACAAAACTTACCTTTTCACGAGCACTAAGCTTTTCTTCTAACACGAGTAACTCCTTTTTAATCTCCAAAGTAACTTTCAATGCATCGGATTCCTGCATCCAGAAGAAACAGTAATATTAAAACCTGTAAATATGATTCACTGCATATCTGTTGCTTTGCTTGAAGAAAGGTACTAGCCTGCTCTTTCAAAGCTATGTTTGCTAGTCTACTACTTATATCTTCTTCCTTCCTTTTCAGAGCTAAATTAGCAGACTCGATTTTCTTCCGAGCCTCTTCAAGATCTCTCTCTTTCTGCTTCACCATCCCGTCGTTCCCATTTGCCCTCTCCTCTCGCTGATTAAGAATTGTTTGACCCTTGGCAAGCCTCTCTTCTGCATCTTGCTGCTTTCTTTCCCATTCCTGCAAATCATCGCGTTGTTTAGACAACGTAGCCTCACGAGCTTCCTGTCTAACAAAAGCCAATGTTGAAAAGATCATTTTAAAATTATATTTTTTTGGTTCTCGAGAAAATTACAAGTTTATCAGAAAGGAGTGCGTACTCTGCATTGAAGGATAGACGATCCCTTCTAAGTGCACCTTCCCGAGCCTCCAGATCTTGCAGCTTCCTTTCCACCTCTGAATTCTTCCCGCTCACCTCAGCAAGTTTTGCATCCGCAGCACGCAGTTTCGCCACCACTTCCAAAGATTTTTCTTCAATGCTAGTTACTAAAGCATTAGCTTCAGCTAGCTTTGAGTCACCTGTAAACTTAAGTTCAGCGTTTTCTGCACGCATCTCATGTAAAGCCTTCTCCAGCTGAATGACAACATTTCACATACCAGCAGTTTAATCAATAAGTAACCCAGGAAGGAGGACCTCAGAACAGAGAAGTGCATATGCAGATGGACAGGCACATTCAATGGGAATACATATACCTAGAAAAATTATGAACTAAATAAGGGAAAATGAGTTCAACTAATTCAAGCCCTCGACCTCAAGACGGTCATCTACCCCAATAATTTAACATTCTCCTTTCTTCAAGAACAACTTCCAGAATCATTTTCAATCAATCTGGAAAGTAGCATAGAGGAACAAGATAAAGGAAAGAAAAGCAAAGCGAATTTGTTAGAAATCACGACTCTCCACAATGGTATGATATTGTTGTCCACTTTGAGCATAAGCTCTCGTGCCTTTGCTTTGGGCTTCCCCAAAAGGCCTTATACCAATTGAGATGTATTCCTTACTTATAAATCCACGTTCATTCTCTAAATTAGCCAATGTGTGACTCCCTCTCAACAATCCTCAACAGAATCGACAGGATACACAAGATATGTTAGTAAACAAGTAATAGAAAGCTATAGCCATACGTCAAAAATGCACTCCTTCTCAACGCCCATTGCGCTCTTTAAACTTTCCTCTTGCTTCTCAGCATCAGATATTGCAATCACATGGGCCATTTGTTCTGTTTTAAGAGTGTCATTTGCTTCAGCCAACGCTTGTTTAAGCTCATCATATTTGTAAGTCCAATCCCTTTTCTCAATCAAGAGAAGCCCCATGTTGTATTGGTACTCAAAAAGCTGTTCAAAGCAAAGAAATTAGAAGAGAGTGTGAGCCACCTTCTCCTAACTCATCTAAATTGACAAAAAATAATCCACTAATAGAACCAAGAACATGAATATTCCACAAAATCGTGCACAAAATCAACTAATAACCTCGTTTTCAAGTCTGTAGATCTTCTCAGCCAACCCTTCTTGATCCAAGGCGGCCGCCTCAGAGCCCGACCCCTTGATCCCATCACCCCTGCGGCTCAAATTAGGAGTAACAGAGTTGGGATTCGAGGCAGAATCGGCTCCAGACCAAGCCTTATGCGGCGTAAACATCACGATACTCCCAACAATTCCACGGATCGTGAGTTCAACTTCATAAGCATGCGAAACCCAAATTTCGGTGGGTGAACACAAAAACCCACACAGCTCCCAAGACTCGAACTACAAAGAATACTAAATCCTTAACCAAAACAATGAAACACACACGGGGATTTAAACAAATTAAGCAACGAATATTCAGTCAGCCCTCACCCGACCCAGTCGAAGCCGCCGGAATTCCGTCGCGAACACAAAACAGAAGGAACTTCCAAAATCAAACCGCTAACCATTCGTGTATTCCAGTTCTATTATGAGCGCCAAAGGCCGGACGTGAACAGAATTCCGAATGTCCGGGCGAAACGGAGATTTGAAATCCAACAACGTCTCACAAAACGAACCGATCCCCTCTCTAATCTTTCTCCATCTCCCGCCTCCTTTGGCGCGCTATTGCGCGAACCACTTGTTAATTTCTACGGCCCCGCCGCAACTCCACGCTCAAATTACCATATTACCCTTCATTACCCGATAAATTTTTAAACTCTATTTATAATAACGTTCAATTTTTCAATAATTCTAAACAAAATTAATGGGTTAAAATAGTAAGGAAAATTTAAAATTAAGTTATTACTTAAAAATAAAAAATAAAGACACTCCAAATCTATTTTATAAGGAAAGAGGAAAATATTTTTTTCATTAAAAAAAAAAAGAAAAATATCAAATTTTCTACCATTAAATTATTCGAATATAAAATTTGAGGGAGAGAGAATATATTTTTACCTAACAGAAAATTATTATATTAACTTATATTATTTTATTTTATAAAATATAATAAATAGAAAAATATATGCAAAAAAATGTTTGTAAATGGGGCAAAAGCTTCAAAAACACTCGAGCCCGGGTGGGGGCAGTTTAGGAATTTCTTAGACGAAAAAAACTGTATCCGAGACGCCACTGCCTTTTCAGTTCGGAGCGTGCGAGTTCCAGTGCATCGTTACGCTGACGAAAGTACCCCTGGAGGATAAAAGGACCGTTGGGTGAGGAAGGAGTTGTAAATAGAAAGAAAATGGAGGGGTAAAATGGAAAATGAAAGAAAATGCACGTGTCAAGTGAAAAAGTGGGGGGAAAATGGGAATGCCACGGTGTACTTCGTTGGAAAAGATGAGTTGGCGGATAAGAGTTACGAACAATTATATATTAAATATTTTATTTTAAAAAAAGTTATTTTGTCTAAAAAAAAATATTCTAAAGACCTTAATAATATTTTTTAATTTTTCTAAAAAATTTAAAAGTATACTTACGACTGTACATCAATTCTTAATAGTGTTTCAAAATTAATTTTTAATTTTTTTTAAAAATTGCATTTATCCTTAATTATTTTTTTTAATTTAAAAAATTTCCTCGAATTAATAATTAAAATGACAGCTGTACGTAATCAACATTTTTAATTAGTTCTATATAATACAAAATTTTTCAAGGACATTCGTCCAGTAATATCAGAGTTATCCAATAATCAAATTCCAACCACGCAGAATAAATTATTGGACCAGTCGAGTCGTGACACGTGTGCCGCCAGCTTGGATAAAAAATTATCATTGGAAATATAGCCCTGTAAATATAAATATCCAAATTTAATTAATTTTTATCAAACTTAATAAAATAATAATATATTTTTATTTAAAAATTCTACCGTATGAATAATAAAAAAAATTAGGAATAAACTAATTTAAAAACTTTATAGAAATTATGAAAATTAAATGTTAATATTTTAACCAAATTATTGTCGTTGGAATATACTATTTTTCTATTTTTGAAAAATTGTACAATTTTGGAAGTTTTTTCAAAATAAAATAGGTCAATTAATACGGTATAATTCATATTATAATTAATATGGAAAATTTGACACTAATATCATATAATATATATATAATTTTTTTATGAACAAACTTTTAATTTATCGGTTAGACCGAATAAAAAAGATATCAATTATCATTTGAAATATTCATCTATTTAATTATTTTTTGTTGAGCTAGGAAAAAAATAGTTTTAAAACATTACTATTTTAAAAATGACATAAGATAAGACTCAAATAGACATAAATTTTTATTTATATGCTTCAATGTATAAAAATATTAGGTAGTAAATAAAATAATTATTACGAAAATTATTAGACTTGTAACATTTTAATACGGTATTAAAGTATACCATACTTGATCAAGATATATAATGCTATTATATATTAGTGGTAGTTATAAATAAATAAATTAAATCACAAAATATATTATGGGGGAACTTTAAAATACTTGACATTGGTTAAATTAAATATTAAACATAAAATTGAGAAAAATAATAAATAAAATAAAACCATTTAAAATTTCGGACTAATATTAGAAAATGTTAATGGGCTTAGACAAATGAAGCCCATGTTTAGTTTTTGTTCTGGAATGTTCTAATTTCCTAATTTTTAATTTTTAATTTTGTATATAATAGATTTTTAAAATTTATATTTTATATTTAATAGAATAATTTATCATATATTTTTTAAAATTTAATGAAATTAAAAGTTTAAGATATATTAGTTTATAATAATAAAAAATGGTAATTTAATGGTATATAATTAATTAATTAATAGAATAACTCACTAAAAAAATTGTTTAAAAATAAAAATAAAAATCCTTGATTATATTTATAATTTAACGTTTCAACTTTTCTATATTCTAATTTGATTTTAAAAAAATAAATCAAAATTCCGTGATTCCAAAGCAAAGCTTAGTCAAGGAAAAACCCTCTCCCTAACCTTGAAATATTCTTTACTAAAATTAAGCTTAAATTTAAATTCCTTCCCTCCCATGGCGATGAAGGAGATCCACGCCTGAAACTCCATTCGATCAGCTGAAAGTTACCTCGAAGTTGGCCACGATTTCCACCGGTGAAGATCCTAGTATTCTTATTCTTTCCTCTGCTGTATCTTCTGCTGAAGAACCAATGGCGGTTCCCGCTGTTCAGTTCCCGATTTTCATGGCTGTCAGAGTGCTCGGGATGGTTGTGGCAGCTCTTGTGTTCATTTGGACCTTGCATTTCCGTGGAGGTTTGGCACTTAGCTCAGACAAAAAGGATCTCATCTTCAATGTAATTCGCTACTTCATCTTTATTCAGAAATTATTTTTCATATTCTTTTACCGTTTTTTTTTTATAAATTGATTCGCATGTTTGATAGGCTTGAGATCGTTGATTTTGTTTGTTTGAAATTAATTCCGCGCCATCTGTTTTCTCACCAATAGAGATGTATGGAACAAAATTAGGTGACGATATCATCGTCTATAGTATCATAATCGCACTTTTGCGGCAGCGAGACTGCGATTGTGCTGCACTTGGTCTAACCTAGCGAACAAGTCAGCTGTGTGAAATTCTGATTTTGTAGATAATATCGGCGTATGCTCGAGTTTCGAGTCACGTTTAAGAGAAATATTTTTGAAAACGCGAGTGAGAAAATATATTGAAAACAATTGTAAAGAACCCAATCTTATAAGCTAAAAGCGAGTAGGCAACAACGACGACTTTGATAGCATATAACCCGGGTATGAACAATTGACAACTAGTAACATCCCCTATACTTTAGAGTATTTTACGGGTATAAACATTATTTTTGTGACCGGGTCATACTCCCCACCCCGTATGGACACAACATAAAATAGTAAAGGCCTATCTAAGATGAAAGCATTGTAAAAGTGGTTTGGAATGGGCATGCGGTCATAGACAACACGTCCTAGACAAGCATGACCTATATGCAACACACACTTTGTACAAGAATATCGTGACATATAGCAACTACCAAGAACCATGCTTACCTCAGTCTGTAAAGGCTGTTTGCTGTCGTGAAAATCAATATGCTCTAAACTCATTGATGATGCACGCCTAGAGGAATTGAATCTATACTTTCTAGAGTTTGGATAATTGGTGATAAATTTGGGGATGATTATTGAGTAGCCATATGGAAATCTTGTCGTGTCAGCAAGCGGTGCTCTGAATTTGTCGTCAGCTCAATAAGATGAGAGCTAATGCAACATAGAATTCTTTCTTTACATGCTCTGAATAAATCCTATATGCTTTACATAATTGAAACATTACCTTTTAATTCTCATTTTTCCTTTTCCTTCCGCGTTTATTTGGTGAAGTTGCTCTTGTTTTGTAGGTTCATCCTGTTCTTATGGTGATTGGACTTATTCTTCTAAATGGTGAAGGTAAATATCTTTCTTCTTTGGATTGAAATTATGGCTTGAAGCATTAGTTTACATAATTTTTCGTTCTTCCTGGACAGTGATTTTAATGCGATGTTCTATACTGGCAATTTGAATACATATGTAGATTATGTGAAAATATAATACTGCTTTGTTATAGATTATGAAATTACATCCCAACTAAAGGTATGTTCTTGAGATTTGTATTCTGAAATCATTCGCGAACTCGAGTTCGAGTTATTTTCGTAGCACGCCGGTGCTCTCAATGGTTTTGTTCACCCTGCTTAGATATATTGATGCAGCCATGTTAGCATACAAGACAGTTTCAGGAACCAAGAACTTCAGGAAACTAGTTCATCTTGCACTCCAGTTTGTTGCATTGTTTTTAAGCCTGATTGGCGTATGGGCTGCCTTGAAGTTCCACAATGACAAGGGCATCGACAACTTTTACAGTCTACATTCATGGTTGGGCTTAGTTTCTGTCTTTTTGTTTGGCATCCAGGTTCGTAAATCGTAATATCCGCTGCTATGTTTTATCTTTTTGTTGAGCTACGTGATTCTAATTAATTAGGGTGGCTCCATTTGGACAGTGGGGTGCAGGATTTGTAACCTTTTGGTACCCAGGTGGCTCAAGAAACAGCAGAGCTACTCTGTTGCCATGGCATGTTTTCTTTGGCGTTTACATATATGGCCTTTGCATTGCTACAACTGTTACTGGATTGTTGGAAAAGGCTACCTTTCTTCAAACCAGTAAGGTAATATTACGCTATTCTAATGAGGCTTTGCTGATAAATTCATTGGGTATCGTCGTTGTTGTTTTGGGTGGCCTCGTAGTTCTTGCGGTTATCGCTCGGTCGAACGACAAAGGTGACGTTTACAGAGGGCCAGCAGAGTAGGATGAAAACGTTATATGCTGGTTCATAGTTGAAATGGAACAAGTACTTGCACTGTGTATGGACTTCTCATCAAAATGAAACTTGCCTTTATTTGTAATTGAGTAAAATGATTCATACTTAAACGGAAAGATCGCATTGGAGAGGAATCGGGAGTGATTTTAAAATGATTAAAATTAGTTTTATTAGACTCAAACCGAAACATATTTTTAATCATTGAGAATCAAAGTTGAATTGATTTTGAATGATTAAAAACATATTTTGGAGTGATCGAAGTGATCTTTTAACTATTTTGTAATCACTTTCTAACATGCCTATGGTATCATTCTCCCCTTGCGAATCTAAACAAATTTTACCGATCTCATTGTAAAAAATCATAAAAATCCAAATAATCACAATCACAAATCCCCAAAATCACAACACTATCAAGAACTGAAGCCAAAGGTATCTATTTATAAGAAATCAGATAAAAAGTTGGGATAACAAACAGATGATGTTGGCTATGAAACTCATAGTTTGGCTCACAGGAAGCAAAGATGGTGCTGACCAACAAACAAACAGAGGTCAACAAAATCATGGGCAAACTGAGGCCAACAATGAAATTGAGATGATATTATATGAAACTTGGGCAAACTGGTCCCTTGGACAGGCCAAGGCGGACTTCCATTCCATGGTGCATGTCCAATGGCCTCAAAGATTCAGATTCCCTTGGGTCTGCAAATCACATTCACATAAACAAGGTGTATAGATTAACACTGGCAGAGACTATTATCTAAAATGTGTATTTTAAGCAACAGATGGACTGCACAATTGAGATTCATTATGTTAAGTCAAAGTGAAAAAGAAGTGCGAAAAAATGGCCAAAGCAATTCATCCTCCTTATGTCGGATGTCCCGGTCATGCTTGTCCAAGACGTTTTGTCCATGACTGCATGTCCATTCCAAACCCCTTTTGCATGCTTTCATCTTAGATATCTTTACTCTTTCATGTTGTGTCAACCTGAGAGTGTATGACCGATCACCAAAATCATGTCTACACCCGCCAAGGCTAAAATGCCGCGAAATATACTATAGAGGGATATGACTAATCATGCTATCAAAGTCGTGCCTAATCGCTTTTAGTTTATAACATTGTTTTCTTTCAAATTGTTTTCAACGTATTTCCCCACTCACGTTTTCCAATATATTTCTCTTAAACATGACTTGAGGCTCTAGAATACGCTGTCATAGTCTACAAAGTTAGAATTTCTCACGGCTGACTTGTTCGCCAAATTAGAACAAGTGTCGCACAATCACTGTCCCGTAGCCGCAAGAGTGCGATTGTGACACCCCCGCAGAATCACACAACACATACATACCCGACTATGGATTTCGACCCTTACACATTTACATCACTCGGTCCCCCCTTCCCTTTCCTCAACCATGTAGACACTTGGGTGACTTAATAAGAGTCCTAAAAAAACTCATTACGCTCAAAAGAAATATTTAAGGCAATGAAAAAGCTCTACCTAATGATGAAAATGTATAATAGAGAACAGAATCAGATGAGTTATATGGATTTATTTTACCATTTAGATAATCTTCAAAGCCAAAGTCATCCAAGCTTCCAGTAAGAGCCTCCAAACCCAACATTGAAGATGGAATAGGTCCTGGAGGCCTTTGAAATCTGCAATAGTTTTTAAGTTAAAATAAACAAGTGCTCCAACTTAGAACACACCAAGAGAGATACAGCATCAATACAAGAAGAGTGGCCTTACCGAGAAAGAATTTGCCTCTCAAAATCCATCTTCAATGGAAAAGCAGATCCATATGTATTCACCAGAATTTTCCTTTTCATCTCTTCTTCTGTTCTTCTCGTCTATATCAAGAAAAAAAATTAATTTAACCAACGAGATCAAGCTTGTTTTTCATCCCAAGTATTCAAAGGAATGTATTGTGGTTCATCCATTTTAAAACGTGTCTATTAGGGAGAGGTTTTCACACCCTTACAAAGAATGCATCGTTCCCCTTTTCAACCGATGTGGGATCTCACAATCCACCCCTTTTGGGATCCAGCATCCTCACTGGCACTTGTTCCCTTCTCCAGGACCTCTCAATTCACCGTGTCTAGCTCTAATCCCATTTGTAACGAATCCAAGGCCACTGCTAGCAGATATTGTTCTCTTTGGCTCATTACGTATCGTCGTTGGCCTCACAATTTTGAAACTCGTCTACTAAGGAGAGGTTTCCACACCCTTACAAAGAATGTTTCGTTCCCCTCTTCAACCGATGTGGGATCTCACAATCCACTCCTTTCGAGACCCAGCGTCCTTGACACTTGTTCCCTTCTCCTGGACCTCTCAATTCAGTGTCCAGCTCTAATCCCATTAGTAACAATCCAAAGTCACTGCTAGCAGATATTGTCCTCTTTTGGTTCATTATGTATCGCCGTTGGTCTCACGGTTTTGAAACGCATCTACTAGGGAGAGGTTTCTACATCCTTATAAAGAATATTTCGTTCCCCTCTCCAACCGAAGTGGAATCTCATACTTTTTTCTATACAGAGGTCAAATGGGACACTAGATAAATCACTCTGAAATGAAATTCTCAGCACCATTTTACAACAATTGATAAAACCAGACCCCAAAAATTTCAAAATAAGGGAGTACAACGAGAAATTTGAGCAAAAAACAGGAAGTAAAACATGAAGCTACAAGTTTCTAATCCGAGTAACTTAAACAAACAAGTGGTTCATCAGCTCCATCGAACCCAGATTATCTTGTCTAATGGCAATTACTAAACAGCCGAAGCGATATAGAAACCAAGTGAGACAACTTAGATTGAAAAAACTGAGAGAGAAGGAAGAGGGGAAATTACAGTTTCATAGATGGATTCAACAGGATGAGATCCAACGAGATCGCTCTTCACGCCTTGGAGCCCAAATCGAAGGGCATCATTCTGGATCCCTCCGATTTCATGGGGAATGGCCTTCGAAGACTCCATTTTCGTTTTCCCTTCGCTCAAGAAAACTTTTTAAACTTGTTCTGCAAGTCGCGCGAGCCCGCCGTGCCTCTGCCTACAGAAAATTGGTAAAGTATTGGTATTTATACAAAACGCCGTGACTTGGAAGAAAATTTTGAATATTGACAAAATAATCATAATTTATTTTGAATTCTTTTCAATTTTATTTTCGGTAGAAAATTACGAATTAAAAAAAAAATTAAAAAAAAAGCGGGGAATATTACCGCACAACTTCCGTTCCTGGCGGTGGCCATTTGATTGGGAGAGCCAAGTTATTGATTCATTTTGCAGAAGTCTCGGCGACTAGCTATCACATTCTCGGCTAGAGCCGCTGATTCTATGATTCTACTCAGCCGTCTTCCGATCAGCCTCGCCGGACAAAGCAAAACCCTCCGATGAGGAAGTCTCGCTTGCGAAAGAATGTTTCTGACTCTATATGGCTATGAATTCTTGTGAGTATTGACTAGGTAGCACTTGGATTGGAATTTGTGAATTCTTGTAAATATGCAGTAAAATATATCTCTTTTGGGAGTGCTTGTGTTGATAATCCCATTCGGAACAGAATTGTAATTTGAATATTTAGGAGAGAAATGTGCGGCCCAAAACGGAGGGAAGCGATTCGACTTGGGCCAGGGATCACTGCAGAAGTCGGTGAGCTTAATGCATTACATAATTTATCATTACATTGTTAACTGAGAATTTCATTGAAACTCTTGCAGGGAAGGGAGAGAATGCTCTGTATGAAGTCCGGCTTATTTCTAAACACTATTCCCGGTGCTTCACCATGATAAAGGATATGGTATAATCAAATTCTGCTACATATTGTGGTTTCATTTAGTATACAAAATGTGTGTAGCCATAGAAAATGTGTTCTTATGTTCTTTTGCGTTCTATATATTCTCTCCACTCCAGGGTCAAGTCCACATGAAAGTTCCATTACATATATCCTATCGTGTAACCACTCAAGTCCACCGCTAGTAAATATTGTCTGTTTTGGCTCGTTATGTATCGCTGTCAACCTCACGACTTTAAAATGCGTTTACTAGGGAGAGGTTTACAGATCCTTATAAGGAATGTTTCATTCCTCTATCCAACCAACGTGAGATCTCATATTTTGTCATTATGGCATTGATAAGATTCTTTTCATCGTGCCGTGAATAAACAGGTTTTGCATATTTTTTATTTCGAATACGTATGTGTATGTGTATGTGTGTGTATATAGATAACTGAAAATGTTGTTTGACGTATGATTATAGTATTAGAATTGGATTTTGAATTGATAGCAGCTTCATTTGTTAGTAACTACCTGAAAGGTAATGAAATTAGTAGTCCGAGTTATTAAAAGCTTTGTTTGTCTGAAGGTCTACTACAAAGGCATGCACGTGAAGTGAGAAGGTAAAGCTGCTCCCAACTTTCACCATCCCAATAAACAAGAAATGATATCAACACTAAAGCAGAGAACCCCAAAACTAAAAGCCTTAACCTTTCTACGCAGGCAGGCAGGCAGGCCTGAGGTCCTTCTACATGATTGCTCTTAATTTCTTAGCGCAAACACAAACCCCCTCCCTAACACCTGCAAAAATATGCCTGAAAATGAAACACAAAGCGAATCTCCTTTCCTTTTCCCATTTCCTCAGAACTTTTCAGCACCCTTTCAAATGAGGTAAAAAGTTGTTCTTTCTTGTTTTGTGTTTATCCCTCTGTCTTGTTCTCATCCATGACAGGCACCCACCTTGCCTCCACGTTTGCTCCTTTGTACTGTTTCTATCTTCCTTTTCTCCTTTTGGCATCTCCTTTTCTTTGCTTGCTTTACTTCTCACCTGCACTCATATTACACTCATCACTGTTCTGTATGAATATCTGAACACAATGGGATATCTCTTTTATTTGCTACTTTAGGCATTGTCATCTGTAAACATTTCCTCATGGGCGTTTGTAGAAAATGCCTCAAACTTTACTTTAACAACTGGGGTTTAAGATGCAATATCTCTGTGTTGGAATAAAAATTTATGCCTTAAATGAGAAGATTAGCCAAACAATGTTAAGGGCAGTAGTTGAATCACAGTTCAATTATACCAGTGAGACAAAATCTACGTGGGAGGGAGTCCCACGTTGACTAATTTAGGGGATGATCATGGGTTTATACGTATGAGGTTTTTTGGGAAAGCCCAAAGTAAAGCCACGAGAGCTTATGCTCAAAATGGACAATATCATACCATTGTGGAAGAGAGTCGTGATTCCTAACAACTTCTCGTGCTCAACGATAACCTTTGAGAACTGTTTTTTCGTTCTACTTCTTTTGTTTCTTTTCACTTCTAGTGTTTCCCTTGAATCCCGGCCTTTTCACCTGTGGACTTATTTTGAGATTATACCAACAGATATTGAGGTACAAGCATGTGGATGTTTTATGAATGACAGATGCAATGATTCTGAGACATTTTTTGTTACGTTATTTTAGGCATTTGACCATATCCTTCAAATGCATAACCATTTTTTCCAGAAAGAGAGAAAAAAAGCAGAATTTTCAACATAAAGCAGCAGAAACTGTGAGAGCCCATTTTGAATTTTGCAGGAAAGAATCTCGATGGGCTCCACAATAAAGCAAGGAGCGTGGGGACGGTTGGGTAAGTGGGATTGTTAAGTGAAATGTACCAGAGTTTTCGGTGGATGGTGTCGAGGATTGTTGGGAGAGAGTCCCAAATTAGCTAATTTAAGGGATGATCATGAGTTTATAACTAAGAAATACATCTCCATTGGTACGAGGCTTCTTGGGAAATCAAAAGCAAAGCCACTAGAGCTTATGCTTAAAGTGGACAATATCATAACATTGTGGAGAGTCGTGATTACTACTGTTGGGAAGTTTGGAAGTATGTTTTGTGAAATTGGCTTTGCTCCTGATACTGATATATTCTTGTTCAGAGCCCTACAGGAATATGTGAAGAGCGTGGTCCCAATTTTAATCGTACACTTCTCCATCTTGTTAGAACATCGATCTGAATCAGTCAAGCCTAATCTTGACGACCCTTTTTGTAGAAATGCACAATCAACGAGGAAGAGAATGAGACTAAAATTTCTCCCTAGATTTCTTAATTAGTTGGATTTGTTTGAATCTTCCCTCTACTTAATCATGATTATCATTTGAAAGATCAAAGAATGTACGTACCACTTTCTCTGATTTCTTTCTGGGAATGGAATAAGAATTAGATGAACCAGTTTCTTCTTTCCCACAATCCTTTAACGACCTCTCTTTAATGGGAGGCGTGGAAGCAGGGCTAGGACTTGTTGAGCTTCTATCAGGCGGTGTGCTTTGAGTTCCCACATCCTTAGTCATCCCTTCCACTTTCTTTTCTACATCTTAAACAATGAACTTGAGAAACCTTTCAAAGCACATTACAAGAAAAAAGGAACAAAAAAGGCAAGAAAATGGTACCTGGAATTTGTGTAAAAGTAATTGGCCTTTCCTGGAGTTGTGTGGAATTTGTGGAATAAACTAAAGGAGCAGACATGGTGATTCTGGTTCTTGAATTTCTGAATGACCTTGCGCTTAGTGACTTAGCAGATAAACACTCCATTGGAACCTCCCCTGAGAGAGGATTGCAAATATATTTCTCTGCTTCATACCACTTTGAGTTCAAAGCAAGCCCTTCTGGCGGTGACAAGCTTTCCCAACTATTATAATTCGACCTGGATTGTAATGCTGCACAAAAACCCTTTTCTATCACAATCTCAAAACAAAGACAGGCAACTCCTTTTCAAACATGTCTTACCTTTGAGAGCGGTAGTGAATGAGTAGGTTGATGGGTCAATTTCATCTGCAAAGAAGAAATCAAGAAACAAAAGATGAGATGATATGAGAGTCAAAACTGATATGAACCACAAAACAGAGAGAGTACCTCTCATGGAGTAGTAGCCTGGGGAAGAAGCAGTGCTGGAGATGGTTATGTTTGATCTGAAGGATCTCCCATCTTCTTCCCTAAAGCTTCTTAGATATGACCCTGAAAACCTTCTGGAATTTGTGTTCTCACACTTCATCCTTGCCCTTACTGCCCACTCTCTCAAATTTAAGTCGTCTGGTTCTTCTCTTCTCTGTGAACCATAATGGAACTGCTCCATTCTAAGGCCTTCAAGAAATGAGGAACTACTAGCTTACTAATATCACTCTTCTCTGTGCTTTATAAGGCTAAATATTTTCTTATGTTTGTTTTATGTACACATTCTAATTGTTATTCCATGTCTATAAAGGCTGAAGAATCATCTCTGTCACAGCCAGAATTGCTAAGTTCTTTATTTGCAAGACAAAACAAGTCCATTTCAACAATTTACAGTCTCGATTATTGGTCTTTATTGTTAGCATTCTGTTTCAAACAATGGGTTTTGCACTAAGTTGTTGTATAGCTTAAAGTGTTTCCCATGCATTGTCACTTTGTTAATGGGGTTTTCCTTCCTAAATAGTTTTAGTTTTAATTTTGATGCTTATGTTACTTTATGTCACGTTTATATCATGTCATGTCATGATCAATGCTCGCCCCCATTTTATTGTTCATATGATTATGTTGTTGATTTTGAAAATTTTGCTTTTTTCGGTTTGGTGCAGATGTGTCTAGAAACCAAGACGGATGGAATGAGGATACAGTGAAGAATTCTTAAAGAAAATTGCTCATTGTTCTTGGTTAATGGGTATCTTTTCGGGTAACTTTATCTCTATACGAGCTATAAACCTTATAAATTGTGTAACGAGTTCTTAAACTTTTTTTTTTAATAGATAGTATTCGATATTTTTAAAAAATGGAATTTTATTTACAATGAAGATATGTGTCCATGACATTGGAGGAGATGGAGTGGTAGTGTAGAAGGTAGGGGTAGAGAGGTCCCGCTTCAGTGTTTATCTCATCATTATCTTTCTCCATTTTTCGTTTCTTGTGCATTGCCTACCTTGGTTTCATCAAAATCACAGTTTTTTTTTTCTCTCTTTTTTTTTTTATTTTCCAATATTCTAAATAATTTTTATAAAATAATGAACTAATATGGTCTTGTCTTGAATTAAAAATTAATTTCATGAAATAATTGTAAATATTTATTTATTCATCCACTATGCTGCCATTTTCCTCCTAGGCATTTTCTCTATTTAAAAATATAATAATAAGTAAATAAATAAATAAATAAAATAATGATGTATCATCCATCATGGGCTTGACGTGCATTGGATAAGTTGTAGGGAGCGTCAAATGTCAATTAACAATTACTTGAGGGGCTAAAGTGTAATATTACCATAATGAGTCACCCTTTTAAGTGCAACCAACTACTCGAACCAACAAGATGAATGTTAAAAGATATTTAATATTAAATTATAATTTATCATATATATCATATTTTATATTTTATTACAGGCAAATATCTAGATATTTAATTTATTATCTCATATATTGTTCTTTTTATTTATTACCATCTTCATATTCTTGTAATTTATTTGATTATAAATAGAGAAGTTTCCTACACCAATGGTGGTGGATTAAGCAAACATTTGCACCTAAATTAAGTATGAAACTCAATAAAATTAAACCGAAGGGCTTTATTAGACTCTAAATAAAAGGGCAATTATAAATTACAACCTCTATATTGAACACTCTCGATAGTCTACAACATTACAAATCACACCTTTGTGCTCCAACAAAGTCGATGGGAAGGGTATGATTTCTTGATTTTGAAAACCACGAGAGCATTAAAACACGAGTGTATGATTATCAACGACCATAATTCAACAGATTAAGAGGTCCGAGGATCTCCGATCCTATATGCCGTGGAACTAAGAAAAAAAAAAGATTGGTTTACAAAATAGACAAAGGAAACCACCACCCAAGCTGACCGGGTTCGATTCAGTAACCCAACCCTAGTCGGTGAAACCAGAGATGGTGGCATGAGGGTGGCAAGCCTTGGCATTTGCGGTGGGCTCAGCAGCTGGGCTGGGCTCGGTGGGCTTTACAACAAGTTCGGCCGGCAAGTCCCCAATGTCCCTCAAGTAGAAGGTATAGAAGAGTTTGAAAGGGAATATGATCTGCTGCAGCTTAACCTGACCCCTCACACCTTCGAAAATCCCTGACCCACCAGTCACAGCCAGGTACGTGTCCTCATAGGTGAGGTAAGGCCCCTGCACCGCTATGTGACCGTAATCCCCAAAGTAAAAGCTGTAGATGGCCTCGTAATGGTCACCTTTCATCTCCGGTTTGTTTTGCACCAATATGCATAACCCTGCCGTTATCCCTACCCGTTTTTGTAGGTCTCCGGTGTATAGCTGTAATTTATTAAAAAAAAATTAATAAACTATTATGAACGTGCTTCTTTCTACTTTTTCTTGCTTGACCATCGGGAATCTTCCACGAAGAACAAGGACATTAATTCAGAGACTAAGCAGAGAAATCCTCGCTTTTCGATGGCGCTAAGTGAGATTGATATTCACTAAGAAAAATCTTCCGACGAAATAAAAATACTAGCTCTCATATGAATCTAAGCATTCTGTTCAGATTTTCTTCTCGGAAAATTGCGATTCCTATAGACTACACTACATATAGAAAATACTCCAGAATGAAAATTGATTCAGTGAATTCAAAATCAAAACATAGAAAACAAGATAAACAGATCATAAAGCTCACTTACTTTGTTCGTAAAGGGAACCAGATCGCCAAGCGCATTCGTATTCTTCTGGCTTAACCTAAGATATGCAGGACTTTGACGATCTCTCTCGTTGATTTCATAAACATATAGTTCCTGAACTTTACCTACGGAAATCAAAGAAACGATCAAAATCCACACAGATCCTCCAAAACAAATGTCGATTCATTGAAAAAACCTAAGAACTCACTCGGATTAGGAGAATCAGAGGCACTGCCCTGACTACGGCAAGAGAACGATCTTCCAGATGTGGAGAAACTCAGATTCTTCTTCGGGGCGGAGAAGAGCTTGGAGCTCTGAGTGAACAATTGACCAGGAAGCTTGACGGAAACAGGCCGATTAACAGAGGAATTAGTCGGACTCGCGCAGGATAATCGCACAGAGTTGGAAACTGCTCGCAAAGTTGCCATGGACGACGATTTCGATCTCTGATTTTGGAGTTTGGATGGAGAGAAAGTGGAAGAAAAAGTGTTCTGAGAGAGAAGAAAACGAAGCGATTGGGATTCCTAAATAGAGAGAATATTTTTCGGTGTTTTTAATTAATAATTTTAAATCAATAATTTTTGGGGTATTCTAGCGTCTGATCGCCGTCGGGGACGTGGACGGCGCGCATGTGGAAATGGTGGAGACGGCGGCCAACAATAGTCAACCCGACGACGACTACACGTGGCAGTTCGCGATTGGAAATCATGGTACATTAGTCTTCCAGTTCTACGGAAGGTTCGGTGTGAACGACTGGACCGGATTATAACGTGTGAAAACAACAGGTCGGTGGGCCAGAATTTCCATTCACTTGTCGGTGAGAATATCAAAATTATAGAATTTAAATTTTAAAGAGTTTTTTAGAAGAGAAGAACGGTCGGCACATTTTAAAACATTTAACGGATAAATTATCTATAAAAAAAAATAATAATAAACAACACTTTCTTTATTTTCTAACATTTTAGTATTTATTTATATTTTTTAACCTTTAATTCTCGTAATTTTAATGGTAAAAATTGCCACTTAATTATGAGATAATTTTTACAATAGAAAATAAATGAGTAGTATATACACTAAATCATTCGGAATTAAAATATCAAAATAATTAAAAAAAACAACTCAACAAAAAAAATCTATATATATCTATATATATATAGATTTTTTTTTGAATGATGATAAACATGTGCATTAAAAAAATAAAAATGATAAACATGTGCATTAAAAAAACGGTTATTGATTTTTTGGATGACATATTTAAAAGAAAAATATGGTGCACTAACTATACATAACTCGATAAGATATTTATTATTATTATTATTATTTTGCTGGAGAAAAGGACAAATTCGTCAAATATAATACGTAAAAAAGTCATTTTATTAATATAGTACTATTATTTACCTGTCTATAACACTCATATGATTTTTTAATTAATTAATTTTTTTAGTTCAATAACACGTGGATCGAAATAATTCAAATATTTAATCTTTTAATTGGACCGTATTGATTGGGAAAGGCATAGAATAATTATTGCTTCACTTTTATAAATTAAAAGGGTTCTAATATGATTGCTGAGGTAGGTGAGACAACAACATCATTAGTAGTAAATTATTTAATCTTCCTAGGAAATTACGTTTTTATCCTTTAATTTTGGCCTAAATTAAAATCGAGTAATAAATAATTTTGGTCTCGAGACATGGTTTCGGTTAGTAATTTTAAAGTTTCAATTTAGTCTCTATAGTTTTAATTCAATTTCCGTAGTTTAGTCAAACTTTATTAATTATATTCCGTCTTTTTAATAATATTAAGGTATGAAATAATATTAAGTGAGGACTAAATTGTAATTTTTTAAAATTGTTTGGACAAAATTGGAAGTATGTCTAAATTTGAGGGGCTATGAAAATAAAAATTGTAATTTAATTTAAAATATTATAGGGAGTAAAGTAAATTGAAAGTGAAGTCCAATTAGGCCCATAAAAGCTCAATGCTCGATGTGTGGGGCTTAGCCCGAGAGGCCTATGGAGTACCGGCTTTGCGTTGTCAGCTCGGCTGCTAGGCGGCACCACTGTTTGATTTCTTGTTATAGGTTGGTTTATAACATTAATGTAACGGGTCAAAGCGAACAATATTTGCTAACCGTGGGTATCAGTTGTTACAACTGGTATCAAAGCCAGACACCGGACGGTGTGCCAATGAAGACGTTAAGACCCCTAAGGAAGGTGGATTATGAGATCTCATTGATTGAAGGGGAGAACGAAACTGAGCTTGAAGAAACGCAAAGCAAACATATATCCGATCTTGAGCCTGAAGCTCTGATACCAAATGATAAGGAAAGGAATCACTACAAGGAGAGTAAGATTCGGATGACCTTGTTTGAGATTCGAATCACTCCGCAAGCAAGATCGATCATGTCTAGCTTGAATGATTCTTGTTGATCAAATATCTCAACGCAAGAACACTTGTTTGAGATTCGAATCACTCCACAAGCAAGATTGATCATGTCGAGCTTGAATGATTCTACATGCAACCTAAACTATGTATAATTGCAAATAAACTTAGTCATTGGCTAAAGAAAAACACAAATGCTTCTTTTACTATATTTTCCAAGTCTACCTACAAATACAACGTAGGCCTCAAAATGAAACTATTAAAGGCAGTTGTAATATTCTGACCATAATTAACCTTTATGTAAAATTAAAAGTCTTAAAATACATTAATGAAATACAATAAATCTAAATTACTAATCCACCCAAAATTTATAACAATCAAACTTAATTCCTCTTTAATGTGTCATGAATTGTAACATTTTTTGATAATTTTGACAACATTTTCTTCACATATTCATTGAAGTATATTGTATGATTAATGTCTCTTCATTCATATCAAAAACATTCTTATAAGAGTATGTAAATCTCTCTCTAACATACATGTTTTAAAACTGTGAGTCAGACGGCAATGGATTTAAACTGTTACAGTTGTTAATTTAAAATATAGTGACAAAATTAATCAAAATTGTTTTTTATTTAATAAATCATTGAATTTATAAAAATATTTATGACGTTGATTAAATTTTTAAATCTTAATATTATGACCTACCGATATTTAATTCATAAAAGTCATACTTTTTAATAATAATAATATTAATTTTGTTAATCATCCACCCCTGTGGGTGGCCACGTCTAGATTCATCCACTAGACAAGGAATGTGCTCCCGTCCTTAAAATATCCAAACAAACCCCGACAAAATCATACTCTAAAAGCAAATTTTTTATTTTTTAATTTTAAAAATTACCTGGAGTTTTATTTTTATAATAATAATTGATATTTTATCTATTAAATTTTGCTCGAACTATAATTATAATTATAATAAACATATGTATGTTACCCGTAATAATTTATTGTTTAATAGGTTAAATTAAAGCAGTAATTATTAAACTTTTAAATTTACATATAATGGGTCTATAAATTATTTTGAAATGATTTTTATCGGTTCTAATTTTATATCTAATAAATGACCTTTTAACGGATGAACTTCTACTTGCCACAATTTTAAGTAACTTTGGTCACTGTATTTTGAGTTTTATTCTATTTGGTCCTTGTACTTTCAATAAATCTGAAATTTTAACGAATTTGTGGTACATATTGTAATTTCGTAAAAGTTAAAGGTCTTTTATGTAAGAATTCGAACAATTGCAACCCCACAACACAAAAGGAAAAAACCTGCAGCTTTGGCAATTATTTCGTCTTATAATTTTCGTTCGTCATATCCAGCAAAGTTTCATTAAAAGTAGTCTAAGGTCTAGCAATTAATTATTATGTCCGAAAATTATAAATGGTTGGAAGAGAAAACAAAACATTTTTTTTATAAATACGTGGAAATCTCTCCTCAACAGACACACTTTTAAAATGTAAGATTAACCGTTTGTTGATATTGAAGTCAGACACTGGGTCGTGTGCCAGCAAGGACCGTTATACACCAAGGGCAAAATGGGAAAACTTGCACACATTCTCTCTCTAACCTTTGAGTTGATGATCCTTTGTTAAAAGAGGGGAGGAGGGGGGGCCTAGATGAGAGAGAAAGGGAATATGATTTGTGAGTGAAGCATTTCCACACCCAAATCTATTCCCCCACTAATTCAACCTCTACATTCCCCCACTAACTTTTAAATCAATCTAACACAAATACCAATATTTGAAAATCAAACCCTAAACCCTTTTAAACCGTGGACCGTTGAAGATAGTTCTCGATCTTGACTAATAAGAATTATTGAAGAGAATTTACGATAAAGTGGCTTCTGGGTGGAGAATAGAGATGTCCACAGAACGAGATTAGTCGAGATCTAGAACTATCTTCAATTTACGAGGACTGTAAATTGACTTCTGGGTCAAGAATAGAGATGTTCACTGGACCGTAAAGTGGCTTCAATTTACAAGAATATAAACGTTGTCCCTTGTCCTCCCTAATTGTAATAGTTCAAGCCCTCTGCTTGTTTGGTTTGACCCGTTAATTATCGTCCTCAACCTCGTTTGTTAGGAAAAGGGTTCCTGGGAATGTTTCGTTATTCTCTCCAACTAATGTGGGATCTTACAAAAATAGTTCTAGATCTTGGGTAAGAAGAATTATGGTAGATAATTTAGAGATGTCCATGGGACGGGTAAAGAGGGCTAATTTCTACCGATATCGAAAGCAATCTCCATCTGTTGTAAACGAGATTTTTGTTATGTCCACAAATAAAGCTAAGTTCTTCAAAAGGAATAAAATGAATTCTCCTTAGTGATTAGGAATATATACTTAAAAAGATCCTTCTAAGATAGGGAAAGCCCTATCTTTTTTGGCCTTCTTGGATTGTATTGTATTGGATGTGTAATAATGTATGGAAGCTATCATTTGTGTTGTAAAAATATAGCAGTTTGTAAGTTGTCTTCTTCCCAAAGTGTCGGGTCTGTCACTTCCAAACTACCTACCGCCCTTTCTAAGAAATGCTTTGTTTCCCTCTCCAACTGATGTGGGATCTCACAATCCATCCCTCGAGCGCCCAGCGTCCTCGCTGACGCACCACTCGGTGGATGGCTATGATACCATATGTAACAACTCAAACCCGAAACTAACGAATACTGTCTTCTTTGGGTTTTCCCTTCTGGGTTTTCCCTCCCGTTTTAAAATATGTCTGGTAGGGAGTGATTTCCACACTCATGTAAGGAATGCTTCGTTTTCCTTGCCAACGGAGTGAGATATCACATGCCAATATGAACATAGCTCAACTAGTTAAAACATATATTTAATTGGAAGATGAGCTAGGGTTTTTGAAAAATTGTGAGAGTGTCAGGAGTTGCAGATGCATAAGAAAGTAAGTAAACACGTAAACGGTTGCAAAAGGAGGCAAACGTTGTACAACTCCATCGAGTTGAGTGGCAAAATGGAAAGAGTAGGGTTATTGAACCCACGGCTCAGATAATGAGCGAGTCAGTAAAATAGCTCAACTCTACCCAACTCAACCCAACTCGTAACCCTAATTTATCACATCCG